CCCAGGTATCTCAAACTGAGTCTAGGTTTAGCCCATGATTAGTACATTTTTTAAAAGATTATTTACCTAAATAGTTATCTCATCTGCATCTCTAATTGGTTTATTTTGTAGGAAAGAGTAGTGAGCTAGGCCCTTGAGTAATACACAGTTAAGAAAAGATCTGAAATGGTTAGCCATTTCTCTGGTCTTTGGACCTCTCCCCTAAATCTTCTCCATCTAAATTTGGTAAGGATTTTTTTCCACAGAGAAATGAGCCAACAATGACATTACAAGCTTATATTAGAGAAAAGGGGGAGGGGGGGAAGTATATAAATAGCCTTGTAAGTCAATCAATTAATCAATCATATACAGCTTCATTGTCAGCCGTTGCTATGGCCTTAAAACACAACTGATTACCATGTACTCAACTAACTTGAAAATTTTTTTATAATTCTCACAATTATCTATCTGTAATTCTCTAGGAGATGTGTGATTTTCCTTGGAAGGATGGTTAGTTGCAACTGATTTTCTTTCAATCTGGTTCAAGTTATCATATGCCTAAAAATCCTGTTGAAATCTGGTGTTTTCTTCTGCCTTATTTTTTTCAATAATTCAATGGAATTATTACTGATCTATGCTTTTATTAACTCACCGCATCAGGTCCACATTACACCTTGCCTGCTCCTTCACCACCAGCCCTACCTGTCCACGGATATCTGTTCTGGTGATTTTCCCCCTCCCCTTCTTTCATCCACTCTTTCCCACTTCTCCTTTCATTTTGAAGAGTTATTATCTATCCTTTTCCTGTTTGCTAACTGCACTAGCCATATTATTCTTTCATTAATACTTCCCAAGTTGATCCTCCCTTGTTCTGAGCTATTAAAGTGCTTTTTAGCGAAATATGGCTATTTTTATTGTCTTTACTAAAAATAATGATGAGGACTCATCAAATAAGAAAAAGGTGCCTTGTTCACCTTAACATAAAAATAAGATTCAGTATTAAAAGTGAGGGTGAAATAATAGCAATACTTTCTACAGAAAAGTTCAGAATATCATGATTGTTATTGTTAACCAGATCTAATATCCTTAACTGTACCCCTTAAGTAGATGAAATGAATTACTTTTTTTTCTTATTTAAGAGAAAATTCCATTTCTCAATTTCAAATACAAATGTTTTAGTGGAAATAGAAATACCATTTGACCCAGCAATTCCATTACTGGGAATATACCCCAAAGAAACCATAATTGCCACCCAAGCAGATATATGTACCCCCATGTCTATTGCTGCTTTGTTCGCAAGGGAAAAGAGCTGGATGCTACCCAAGTGCCCATCAAAAAACGAATGGATAGAGAAGCTCTGGTATAGTCACACAATGGAATACTATGAAGCATTAAAAAATAAGGAACTCATGAAATATTATGCAAAATGGATGACCCTGGAGGACATTAAGCTGAGTGAAATGTCTCAGTCACAAAAGGACAAATATGGCATAGGGCCACTGTTTGTAAAACGGGAGTGATGTCAGGGTTGAGGGAAGACAAAAAAGGAGGGGAGTAATGATGTATATTGCATTGAAACAGATGAGGGAGAGAAATGTTTAAAAGGGACATATGAATGGGTATTTTTGTCATCAAGAAGTCCAGAGTGAAGGCTGCATAGTGGAGTGGACTTGAGGGAGGGATTTACATAACAATGAAAGAGTTTTTTCTTTCTTTTCAAGAAGAGTGAATTGGGGGGAGGGTGTGGGTATGGAGAAATGTGCAACAATGAATGACAGGAAACCCTAAGTCTGGGTAAACTTTCATTAAATTTAATTTTAAAAAATAATTTTTTTTAAAAAAAAAGAAAATAGTAAACATTTTTTAAAAAAGAAAAAAGACTATGATATCAATGTACAGTATCGCCATAGTCCATGGGTCACTGGAGTATAACAAATATAGGTGCTTCTGATATTAAGCAAGATTAAAGTTACAAAGACTGCAAATTTCTATTCGTTTAAAGATGGTATGATAAAGACCTAACACTAGTATTGGTACAATATTCCAATTTTTAAATTATCATATCAATAATCTTTCCTTGAGCAGGCAAGACAGTTAAGTGGGGAAGCACAGAAGGTGGAAAATTTCAAAGGTAGTAATGATTTTAGACATAAAGACTGAACTCTTCTGTATTTCTCAGTAAGTTACTAATAAGTTTCACAGAGCATTAGCAGATCTCCAAATAATGTGTGCTGTTGTTGTGGCTGTGTACCATCTAGTGGGAACAAATCCATTGCTGACCCGCTGGCGGGTTTTCAGAGGCAGTTAATCACCTGGGAGAAAACTACCCATCCTGCTCCCATGGAGTAACTGGTGGATTTGAACCGTATGTCTTTCTTATTGCAGTGCAGCTATGAACCACTTATGCACTTATGCAGCTTTATATTTTATACTTTTCCCACAATTAAATTAAGATATAAATATCTTTGATCTTCTGAAGATCTTATTCTGTAATTACGGTTTTTACCTTTCTTGAATCATGAATGTTTATTACAACACAAACGTTCACATGCTTTTATTTCTTATTTCTATTTTTATGTATGAACTAGCAAATAAAGTACTTTCACTTGGACTTGGTACCAAAAAGCAAGTTTCTAAATGCAACTATTCCAAAGTTCAAAATAGAGCTCACTTTATAACCATGTACCTTTGCACCAGCAGCACAATTCTGTACCACTAAACCACTAGAGTTCTCTTCTTCATGGTGATATAAAATGCACTGCACTTCTACCTTCCTCTTGCTATTTTTGTGAATAAGTCATCTCTGTTTCACTATGAGAGTATCTCAAAGGACTAATGTTGGAATTCAGTCCAAAAGAATAAACACTGTTTGAATCTACTAGTATACAGAACTAATAAAAGGCTCACACACAGAAGAAAAAAAAAATCACTTAAGTTTACCAGTGATGGGAGGATGGGAAGAAAGGAAGTATAGTATTCTCACTGGCAATTTTTAACACTAAGAAATTATACATATGGAAATACTAAACTATAATTAGAAGCTCTGATGATGTAGTTTGTAGGAAAGTACAGTTCAAATCTATCAATGGCTCTGAGGGAAAAAGATGGGCAATCTCCTCCAATGCAGATTTACACCCTTGGAAACCCAATGGAGGAGGATCAGCTAAGAGTCTCTTCCAACTCTATGGCAATGAGAGCTGAAATACAGTAATACCTAACTTTAATCCAATCTCAACAAATTATTTATTAATTATTGACTAAGGACTGATATTGTTAACAGCTTCAGTTTGCGTGGCTCCACAATCAACACTCTTGGTACCAGCAGCCAGGAAATCAAAAGATGAACTGCATTGGGAAAATTGGCTGTCAGGGATCTCTCCAGAGTAATGAAGAACAATGTCAGTCTAGAGACTAAAGTGCACCTGATCTAGGTCATGGTCTTTGCACTTACTTGCTATGCATCAGAAACCTGGACAATGACTGAGGATGACAGAAAAATTATTGATGCCTTTGAATTGTAGTGTTGGAGAAGAGTCTTAAATATACCATGGACTGCCAGGAGAACAAATAGATTCTTCCTGGAAAGGGTGAAACCAGCATGCTCCTTGGAGGCAAGGAATCTGAAGCTTCATCTGACATAATTTGGGAATGGTGCAAGGAGGGATCAGTCCTTAGAAAGGGACATCATGCTTGGAAGGGTGGAGGGACAGTGCAAGAGAAGACGACCCTTGATGAGATGAACTGACTCACTGATTGGGGTAAGGGGGGATGGGCTGTAGGTGTGTCAGACACAATAAGGTTGGCTCAGGACAGAGCAGGGTTCAAAGCTGTTAGTGACTTGACACATCCAACAAAACTGAAAGCATTTAAAAATGCTTAAAGTTCTATTTATCACTACATTCCTTTCAAAGGGCTATTATTTCTTTTTTTCTTTCACTTTAAAGCTGACATGGAATAGCAATACGAATCATTTTTTTCCTAAGCATTCTTAATACAAAACTACTTTTTACCCAGCAAAACATGTTTATTTTCTGAATTCATTTCACAAGAGATAAAAATCTCAAAGTACCTTATTTTTAAAATAAAAAGTTTACTTTGGTAAGTGTGAAAAAGTAACAATACATCCAAAACTCACAGGGGCCTTATGTGAGGGGCCTCTTCAAATGCATTAAAACAACAATTTATTAAACCCTTATATAATCTTTGAGATAGTAGTATGTTTACAAAAGGAGAGACTGCAATCTTCAATATGGAATTGCATCTCAACATAAAAAAAGTGAAATCAGAGAGCAATGTCACAGAGAGGAGAGAGTGAAGAGGCTGCGTCTGGCTCCCACTCTCACAGCCATTGCAGTACGTTGAGCTCCATAGAGACAGCACTAGGCCAGGCAGAGTCAGACGGCACTGGGAGACTCTGTGCCTTGAGGACGATAAATAACAAGCCATAGGCAAAAGAGATCCTAAGAAGCAGAGAGACAAAATGTCATCATATATATTTTTCTTGCACAAGAAGAAGCACCCAGACGCTTCTGTCAACTTCTCAGAATTTTCTAAGAAGTGCTCAGAAGAATGAAAGACTGTGTCTGCTAAAGAGAAAAGTAAATCTGAAGACATGGCAAAGGCAGACAAGGCCCATTATGTGAAAGAGATGAAAACTTATGGCCCTCTTAAGGGTAAAAAAAAAAAGAAGTTCAAAATCTTAGTGCTCCCCAGAGGGCCCCTTCAGCTTTTTTCTTGTTTTGTTCTGAGTATCGCCCCAAAATAAAAGGCGAACACATGTGCCTTTCCATTGGTGATGTTGTGAAGGAGTTGGGAGAGATGTGGAATAATCCTGCTGCTGATGATAAGCAAACCTGTGAAAGGAAGGCTGCTAAACTGAAGGAGAAGTACAAGAAAAATATTGCTGCATATAAGGCTAAAGGCAAGCCTGATGCAACCTTCACAAAGGCTGAGAAAAAAAAGGAAGAGGAAGAAGATGAGGAGGATGAGGAAGAAGAAGATGAATAGAATGAAGATGATGAATAAATTGGTTGTAGCACAGTTGGGTTTTTTTTTCTTGCTTGCTGAAACTGAGGAGGACCTGAAGCACTTGCTGCAGAAGGTCAAGGACTGCAGCCTCCTATATGGATTGAAGCTCAACATCAAGAAAACTCACCACTAGGCCAACTGGCAGCAACAGTATGGATGGTGAAGAGACTGAGAGAGTTAACAGTTTTAGTTTATCTGGCTCCACAGTCAACACTCTTGGTAACAGCAGCCAGGAAATCAAGAGACAAATTGCATTGGGAAAGGCAGCTGTGAGGGACCTCTCAAAGAGTACTGAAGAGCAACAACGTCAGGCTGGAGACTAAGGTGCACCTGACTGGGCTATAGTCTTCACAATTATGTGCTGTGCATCAAAGAGTTGGACAGTGAATAGGGATAACAGAAAGAGAATTGATGTCTTTGAGCTGTGGTGCTGGAGAAGAGTGTTGAATATACCATGGACTGCTAGGAGAACAAACAGGTTTGTCCTGGAGAAGGTGAAGCTGGAATGCTCCTTGGAGTCAAGGATTCTGAACCTCCGTCTGACATAGTTTGGGCATGATGCAAGGAGGGACTGGTCCTTGGAGAGGAACATCATGTTTGGCAGAATGGAGAGGTGAAGGAGAGGAAGACCTTCGAAGAGATGGATCGATTCTGTGACTGGAGTGGTGGAAATGAGTGTGTTTGAGATGGCTAGGTTGCCACAGGATAGAACAGCGTTTAGGGTGACTCGATGGCACATAACAATGACCATAAAGCATTTAGCTCCCCTGTACGCAACCTGCACTCCTTTTAAAGAAAAAAATTGTACATATAAGTCTGTGTAAGATCTGTTTTTAAACTGTACAGTGTCTTTTTTTTATATAGTTAACACATTACCAAATGTGTCTTTAGACAGTCCTGTCCTGGTGGTATTTTCAATAACCACTAACCTTGCCTGGTACAGTATGAGGGTTGTAAATTGGCATGGAAATTTAAAGCAGATTCTTGTTGGTTCACTGCAAAAACTAGTTATATATAAGGATGGTAGGTTTGTGGGGTTTTTTCATCTTCATTTGTCTGATGCAGCTTATAAGAAATATTTTTTGTTCTGCTGAGTAGCCATCTGTAATTGCAAAAATAGAAAGAAAAAAAAAGTTGCTGTTGTTTTGTTGACATTCTGAATGCTTCTAAGTAAATACTTTTTTTTAAAATTAGTATTGTTTTTTTAAAAAAGATCCTTGCCACTACACTGACAGGCAACTTTAAGATAGATGGAGAAAAGACTGAAAGTGTCCACAACTTCATCTTACTTGGATCCACAAACAATACACTCAGTATCACAAGTTAGAAGCTACTGGGCAAGTCTGCAGTCAGAGACTTCTCCAAATTATTGAAAAGCAATGATGTCAATTTTCAGGAGTAAGGTGTGCCTGATGCTTTTTAATCACTTGCTATGCATCTGAGAGCTGGACAATGAATAAGGATGACAGAAGAACTGATGCCTTTAAACTGTGGTGTTGCATAAGAATACTGAATATCCCATGAACTGTCAAAAGAACAGATATGTGTTGGAGAAGGTAGAACCAGAGTACTCCTTGGAGGTAAAGATGATTATCTACTTTGGGCGTGTTGGTAGGACAGGCTATTCCTTGGAGAAGGACATCACGCTTGAAAAGTGGAGGGCTGGTGAAGGAGAGGAAGACCTCAACCAGGTGGACCGACACATAGTGACTGAAGCAATGGGCTTGAATGTTTCAGAGATTGTAAAGATAGGGCAAGATAGTACAGGATTCTTATCTGTTGTTCATAGAGTTGCTAAGAGTCATACTTGAATTGACAGCACCTAACAAGAAGAAGAAAGGAGTTCTAGGGAGCTTTAGGAGCCTTTTGGTAAGGAGCTGTTTGTGGTTCAAATCCATCAGATGGTCTATGGGGAAAAAGAAAGCAATCTCCTCCTGGGTGTTTTACTGCCTCCGAAAACCTGCTGGAGGGTCAGGAATTGGTCACTATGGGTCGTACTTGGATCGATGGCACCTAACAACAAGAAGGGAGTTCTAAGGAGCTCTGGTGGCTTAGTGATAAAGAATTGTACCACCAATCCAAAGGCAGACAGTTAAAATACATCAGCTGCTCTGTGAGAGAATGATAAGCAATCTTTTCCCATTCAATTTACTTCCTCTGAAAATTGGCTGGAGGGTCAGTTATGAGTCATTCCAATTTTATAGTGCTGAAGAGCAAGAATATCAGTCTAGAAACTAAGATGCACCTGATCCAGGCCATGATCTTTACAATTACTTGCTATGCATCAGAGAGTTGGGCAATGACTAAGGAAGACAGAAAAATTATTGATGTTTATGAATTGTAGTGCTGGAAGAGAGTCTTGAACATATCATGGACTGCCGAGAAAACAAATGTCTGTTTTGGACAGGGTGAAACCAAGCTGCTCCTTGTAGGCAAGGATTCTGAGACTCCATCTCATATATTTTGGGCATGCAGCCAGGAGGGAGCAGTCTCTTTGGAGAAGGAGATCATATCTGGAAGGGTCAAGAGATAGTTCAAGAGAGAAAGACCTTGGATGAGATGGACAGACACAATATCTGGGGTAATAAGGGTAGATATGTCAGAGACAGTGAGACTGGCTCAGGATAGAACGGGTTTCAGAGTTACTGTTGTAGCGTTGCTATGAGTTGTAGTCAATTCAATGGGACATAAGAGCAGCAACAAAAACAAGGGAGCTCTACTGGCCTAGTGGTAAGGTATTATGCTGCCAACCCAAAGGAAGTAAGTTCAAATCCACTAGCTGCTCTCCGAGGGAAACAGATGAGCAATCTCCTCCTGTGCAATTTACGGCCTCTGAAAACCCACTGGAAGGTCAGCTATGAATTGGTTCTGACTTGACAGCTGTAAGTTGTTGCATTATCCTCATAACACAGAAAGAACCAAGACAATGGCTAAAAAAAAGTAATCGACGAGGGTTGCAGAGTAGATTATATTTGGGGGTAGGGGGTGGGGTTGGGGGAGGTGCGGGGGGGATTGTGTACCAATGAGGGAGTTTTTCTTTTGCTTTTCAAGGAGAGGAGCATATGGGGGAAGGGGGGAGGGGGGGGTGTGGGGAGAAGGGTGCAACAATGAATGAATGGAATTCCAAAATCTCTGTAGATGTTCATTGAAATGAAAAATAAACAAACTAAATTAAATTTAAAAAAAAAAAAAGTAATCACAAAACTAGGAAACAGAGGAGCCAGGGTACTTGGGCAGTCTGGCTTAGGAACTCGTAACTTCTATCACTGTTTTAGCATGGTCTGTAGGGAGTTGTGCTACTAACCCAAAGGCCAAGTACCTCTCTGGTACTCAGAATCCACCAGTGATTCTGCAGGAGAAAGATGGTCAACATCCTCTCATGCCATTTAGAAGCTTGGAAACTCAATGGCGCTTAAGTCATGAGTTAGTTCCAACTTGATGACAATGAGAATTTTTATACTGATTAAAAGAGTTCCTAATTAAAAAAAAATAAATTCCTAGGGAATGCATAAAGTTAAGGCTGCTAACCCAAAGGTGAAAGCACAAGGGCACCCAGAGGCATCTTGACAGAAAGGCCTAGTGCTCTATCTACTTCTAAATCATCAACCATTGACAAAGCAAAGTTTATAAAGTTAATGTTTACATCCTAGTTTACTGAGTACCACATTAAGTCTCAAAAGCATGTGAGCAGACATCTAAAAGACAACTCTTGGTGCCTGGTGGCCTAGTGGTAAGGAACTACACTGCCAGCCCAAAGGCACACAGTTCGAACACACCAGTTGATGGGCAACCTCCTCCCATGTAATTTACTGCCTCTGAAAACCTGCTCGAGGATCAGCAATGAGCTGATTACAACTTGACGATATATACCAGCAAATAAATAATATGGCACAAAAGAGAGGGAAGTCAAATACTTAAAGAAACCAGTAAACAGAGCTCATAGGAGTCACTGCCTCTTCTGAAGACTAGATGATGCCCAGCTACCACTACTGACCTTTCTGACCAGGGACACAATTAAAGGTCCCAGTAAGAATAGCAGAAAAATTCAGAAAATGCAAAATGATAAAAAAGAACAGCCTTCCCAAACTGACAGAGATGGAAGGAGTCACTAAGACTACCACCTTAAAATATTTGTTTAATCTAAACACTAAAATAATTCCCAATGGTAATATTCCAGCCAAACGATGATGTGGATGTTTGTTGCTGTTGTTAGGTGCCATCACTCAAACTCGCAGTAATGTTATGTACAACTGATGGAAATTTTGCCCAACCTTAACCATTCTCACAATTTCCACTTGTGCTGCCTGTTGTTTACTGAAAAGGTTGTGACCCTTCAGGGCCTTTTCAGAAGCTATAAATCACAAAGGAGGAGACCGTCCATCTGTCTTCCTGAAAGTAGCTGGAAGATTCAAATTACCTTCCTTTGGATTGGCTGCACAACCTCTTACCGTCAGTCACCAGAACTCTCTACACTATGCTTAAATCCATTAAAAATACAATATTTAGATGCAGTAACTAAGGGAAAGGGGATAGGTGTATTAGAGTCAGTGAGATTGGCTCAGGATAGGGCGGACTTCAGAGCTGTTGTACAAAGAGTTGCGATGAGTTGCAGGAGACTTAACAGCACATAAAAACAACAATAAGATCTCATTAAAATATTAAAAAGCAAGGATGTCTGGTTAAAGTGAAGGTGAGCCTGATACAAGCCACGGTAGGTTCAATCACTTCATAGGAAGTGAGTGCTGGACAATGAATAAAGACTTAAGAAGAATCAACTGAACTGTTGGTGTAGAATGCTGAATACCCCCAGGTATTCAGAACAAATCTAAAGAATAAACAAATCTTCGAAGAAATGCAACCAAAGTGTTCTCTTGAAGGAAGGATGGTAAGACTTATCAGGAAAGGTCAGTGCAAGAAGTCTCTGGAAAAGAACACCATGTTTGGGAAAGTAGAGGATCATGCAGCAGAAAAGAAGATTCTTAATGAAATAGATTGAC